TGCAAGGGCAAGTTAACGTCTTTCCTGTTACACACTACAAAGGTGGTACTTCAAAGGAAGAAAAAAAATTGAGCATTATTATTTCTTACTAATAAAGCCATGAAGGCACCCTTGTTGTTAGCCCAGAGATAAGACAACAAAATTGTCCATCAAGTTCTCCTTTTATACACCCTGCATCATATTTTAAAAAGCTGGAGAAAGAGATGGGCTTCCTGTTTCTTAGGCAGCTTTAACTTTTGTGACCAACACTAACAGAAAACCAAAGCTCATACCTTAACAGCTTTACAGATATTTTTACCTGACTCAATTTTCAAACATGCTGTGACAGACTGACAATATCCTACCTTATTAAATTAAGTTTGTTGTATTAAAAATGCAAATGTTTATGTACTATCATGGACTTGCATGGAACTTCCTTAGCTGAAAGACAGAATTAATGCAATCTCTGGGAGACATGAGGAACCTCAAAGGACTACTGGGAACAGTGTGTGTATAGTGAATTTCCGAGAAAATATCTGAGGGTCAGGGGAGGGCAAATAACACACTTCAAATGCATCCTTTTGAAGCTACCTCTGGGAGAGAGAAGCCAATTATCTGTTAATTACCTGATCCTGGAAACTCCAAATCGGAGACCCCAAAATTGTAGGAAGGACGGACTAAATATGTGATGAGTGTGCTGTTCTGACCTGAAGCTGAGATTAACTTGAAACTACAAAGAAAACCCTTGGGTTGGGTTTTGAAGGATTGTTCCTTCCGTATTAGGGTTGGTGTGACGTCTGGTAAGTAAGTTCTTTTATTATTTTCAGTATGGTTTCTCTGTAGTGCTTTTACCTTAAGAATAAAATAGGCTTGCACAGGAAGTTCTGGATGGTAACTTATAACTGTGGGCAATCATTCTGGTATTAGTCTCTGAAAAGAAGGCAAAAGAAGCTTGCTTAGAAGCCTGTCTTTTGCTGGCGTAACAGTGAGGGTAGGGAACTGTTCAGCCTGGAGATACTCCATTCAGAAGGGAGAGAGAGACGTGAATCTCCATCTATGAGATGTGACTGCCAGGGAGGCCTGAGAGTGGTGCCCTCGCTGTACCACAGAGGGGGAGAACAGGTGCAGTTGCCCTGAACTGTGAAACATGCATTCTCCCAGTCTCAGCCATACAGACCTCCTTTCTCTACCTATTTTAAATAAACCATCCCTCCATGGCACACTTCATTGTCCGTGTCTGAGTGCCTCTCTGCCCCTCTAACAATGTACCAAGGAAGTGACATATTGGCTTTCAAGTTTCTCTGCCTTTTATTCTCCTTTGTAATAGCAGAAGTCAACAAATGATGTAAAATATTACTTTAGGGCCCAATGTTGCAACAGTGAGCAGAAGAGTGATGCTTCCCACTCAAGTAGAAATGATAACCAGTCATCCCGCCAGCCCAGAACTGTCAAGAGACACATGCAGTGAGGTAATTCTTAAACATGTGGGGCTCTATTTCACACCCCTCCCCATTGAGTATAAAAGTAAAAGTTAATCACATTCTGTATTACATTCACTTACCCAGTTAACACTTACAGCTTTATTTTCTCCATTTTCCATTTCTGAAGGCAATAGCTCCTTTTCCCCTTCTTCTGGTAACTTTGCTCCCAATTTATCCTTTAAAGTGCTGTTTTCTTCCACAAGTTCTTCCACTCGTTCCTGAAGGCTGATCTCAGACAATTTCAGATCATAAACACGACAGCAAGATTCCTCTAATTTCCTTGTCAGGAAGTCTTCGTTGTCCTGGGAGTGCTGAAGTTTAGTTAGTAGGTTTGCTTGTTCTCTATTATTACCTTCTTCTTTTTCCTGTAACCTCTTCAGATTTTGCTGCAGTGTCTGTAGGTGGCTTTTCATGTAATGATCCACATCTTCAATGAGAGTTTTTATTTTAGTTATATTCACATCAAAGTGCAAAGACCCATGAATTCCATTGAATACCGCTTCCAGTTTGCATCGGAGATATTGTATAGTTCCCTCTCCTAGCTCAGAGAACAGAAAAGCTGTAGTGGCATTGAGATCTAGGACTTCCTTTTCCAGTCTGGACACATGACCCTGAAGGGACAACTCCCGTTCTCTCAACACTGCTGTCTTCTGGTTCTGCTTTTGTTTGTAGTGCTCGAAATATGCTGACTGACTCTTTACTTCCTCCTCTTTTGTCTTCAACTGGTCCTGAAGCCGCCATAGCTTTTCTTTTTGTTTTCTTTCTGCCTTTTCTTGTTTTTGAACCTGCAAGTTTCAGGGATTAGTATGGGAATGAAAACAACAATAGGCACATCTATGATTCAGAATCTCTTTTCACAATATTTTTTCTTTTTCTTAATTGAGCAATAATTTTGCCCATCTCTTCTGAACCATCATATGGCCAAAGCCCAGGAATAATATGAACAAAAACTTTTCAGAAATCAATAGGACTATATGATGTGGAGGTCAGAGCAGAATTTGGCCCATTACCTTGTCGCTTCAGCCACCACCAAAACATCTCAATTAAAAACCATGTTTGCTTTGATATTTAATATTTTAGTTCATTTTGCATAATGTAGGATACTCATCAAATCAAAATCCTTTTATGGACTAAAATGCATATAATCAGTTCCTAACTATACAACATATTACTGTAGTAGTGTCCAGAGGTCACAATTAGGTTCTTAGTCCCATTGTACTAGGTCAGGGGTCTCAAAGTCCAGGTCCACGGGCCACCTGCAGCCCGAGAACCTCCACAATGTGGCCCGCAGGGCTCCAGCAATTTTGGGGCCGGGTCTCTCCCTTGACCCTGACTGCCACCCCAGGTGCTCCACCCCCCGCACATGTGAAGAAGGAAAGGGTAGTGGGCCTTATTACTCAGCTCACAGAGAGTGTTCCACATGTAAATGAATATGGATAATTTTCATTGTCAGATGAATCACATTACACTTTACATGAATGTGTGGGTCATGATATAAAGTCCAAATGTGTCCGATGAAAGAAAAACAAACGTTTCTTATTTTATTAACTAGTCCTGAACCAACTAAAGGCCATCAAATAACATAATGCAAACTTGGGAATTTTTCAGCAGATACTGAAGCACAGAGAAGGTCTGACTGAGGCATTTGCAATATCCCATTAAATACTGTTTCAGCTCAGTGTTTTTACACTCCAATCTATTGATTTTTAGGGGGCTTACTGATGAAACAGAAGTACAGTAATGAGATTAACACTAAGCATGAAAGTCACGCAGCGTCAGGCAGGATCAGACTATTCGGTTTAAACGAAATTACTTTCGGATGGGAGAATAGGAACTGTTTAGACAAATTCTGAAAAATATATTTTAGTTTTAAACGGGTTGATTTAGAAATTACTGAATTTAATACTATCTGTTATACTGAGACATTACACCCTAAAAGTACTGGAGGAGTTTGAATCATGCTACTGTGGTCTTAGCTCCCATGAAGGGAAAACCCCAACTGTAACCACCGCTTGGTAGAGAGTAGGAGCACTCATTGAGTGGCAAATACAGCTTTGGAGAACAAGTGTCCACCAGTATAAGCAATAAACCTTATAAAAATGCCAGTGGCTATCTAAGCAAAGGAGCAACTAGGATAGGGCAGCTTTTGCCCTCAGAATATGAAATAGCTCTCAATTCAGGTGGCGTGGGTCGTTTAAAACATGCTGCCTGGTCTGGGGTAACTGATTCGCCATCTTCCAAGTAATGGTGACAAACTGGCCTAAGAAAACCGAAGTTATGTAAGCATGGAAGGTGGACGAAGAGCTGTTGATTGAAGTATCAGGAGAAAAGCTGAATCAGAAAAAATAATTTGTGTACTTGGGAAGTACACTTAGTAGCATCAGATGGAGAGCTGGAGAATTGAAAAGAAGAATCAAATGTGAATGGGTGGAAGTAAAAAATGTGGCAGGAGTATTATGGGATAGGCAATTAAGTAATAAACTGAAAGGAAAAGTGTATGCTCTGAGTGTTTGTCCCTGCCTGCTCTATGGAAGGTCTTAAAAAGATGGAAGAAAAGAAGATACAGGTAATAGAAAATATACTGAGAAGAATGGCAGGTGAGGGGAGGGTAGACAGAGTGCATATGGAAGAAATTATGGGGAAGATGACCTTGGGACCCTCAATGATAGGCTGGAGAGCACACATTTGAGGTGGGTTGGACATGTGATAAGAATGGGAGAAGAACGATCAGCAAAGAAAGCAGGGAGGAAGAGGACAGCAAGAAAGGATGTGGAGAACTAAGGATGCGATGGAAAGACTCTGTCAAGAGACATTTGAAGAGAAAAGGACTGGAACTCCAATTTCTATGAACGTGTTCCAGAGACCAGAAGAAGTGTCAAAGAATCATGGGCACCTCTAATCCTGGGTAAATGGAAAAAGGAGTTGAGAAGTGATGTGAAGCAATACTGAGACTGTACAGTGGTACTACAAGTGTGCTTCAGTGTGCGCAAGGATAGCACACTCATCAGCATACTGAAGGTCAGTAATAACAGTCTTGGTGACCTTAGTTTTAGAATGAAGATGCCACAGGTTGAAGAGCTGGCCATCCATGCAATTCGCAATCCCAATTCCAGAAGAAAGGCGATCACCAATAAGAATCAAGATCACGGCAAGATAGATGGAAAAAAGGGTTGGGTCAATAACACAGTCCTGCTTAATACCAGCACAGATGGTGAACGGGTCTGTCTCCAACCCATTACAAAGGACAGTGGAGGTCATCCCATCATAGAGTAGCCTGAGAATGCAAATGAACTTCAATGGACAACTGAACCTAGACAGCACCTTCCATAACACTTCACGATTGATGGAATCAAAGGCCTTAGTAAGGTCAATACATGCCATAAACAATGGCTGGTGTTGTTCTCTACATTTCTCTTGGATCTGTCATGCAACAATCCACCCATGTATCTGACTTGCAATCCACTCTAAATCTTTTCTCAGGGGGCTATCGTAGCCTGGGGCTTTCCCTCAATATTGGGAAGACTAAGATGCTCCACCCAGCCTGCCCCAGCACAAGTTGCTCCTCATTCTCCCACAAATTGTCATCAGTGGTGAACTCCTGGAAAATGTTGAGCTTTTCCTTTACCTTGGTAGCCACCTCTCCCAGACAGCCAATCTCGAAATAAAAATCAAACATAGGATCCATTGCTTCATCATGTCTTTATTGACAGAGATCTGTGGATGGAAACTAAGATCCTGGTCTACAATGCAATAGTCATCCTCACTCTTCTTTATGGGTGCTAGACGTGGGTGACATATTGAAGCCATTTTAAGTGTCTGGAGTGGTACCACCAGCGCTCCCTTAGGATGATTCTCCTTATCAGATGGGAAGATCATCACACCAATGCCAGTGTTCTCTCTGCAACTAACATAACCAGTGTTGAGGTGAAGATTATGAAACATCAATTTTTCTGGGCTGGCCATTGTGTGCAGGCTGGTACTCATCTTCTGAAGCAAGTCCGCTTTTCTCAACTTAGTCATAGTAAGAGAACTCATGGGGGACAGAGGAAACACAACAAGGACACCCTGAAAGTATATCTTAAGAAGGGTGGCATTGACCCCACAAATTGGGAAGAGCTGGCCGGCAATAGACTGCAATGGTGTCGCATCATACATCAAGCCTTAGCCCACTTTGAAGAGAATTGCCTTACTCAAGAGGCTGAGAAATGGTAGAGGAGGAAGGAAAGTGTACAGCATCCCGGCCAGAGGTTGTGCTCTTGCCAAGCAACCACCTGTCATAGATGTGGGAAAACCCACAGAGCAGGAATTGGACTCCTCAGCCATCTTAAGTGTCATCAATGACTTTTTTCCGCCTGGCAGACATCATCCTTATATCAAGAGATAGCTGCCGATGACTACAGATATACTATGCTACACTGCCTTTCACTACATTAATGAGCTTCAAACAAAAATGCTGCAATTGTAACTGCTGATGAAAAGGAAATATACCCATGGAAAATAAATCAGTAAAAGCTGCAATACTGTGAACCACACTACATCAAGTAGGCTTAGCTTAGATGGATATGTGCTGTTTTCTTAGAGAATTTTCATTGCTTCTCTATTCAAGGGACTCATCAGATGAGCTATGAGCCAAAGCAGGGTGTTAATATACGGAGAAAAAAATAAGTTTACTGATAAGCATTTTTTTAAAAAAATCCCTATAGATATTTCTGTGTTTATTTGCAATAGCACCTGCTATGTGCTAGACATTTTTCAAACACTCAGGTATGGTCCATGTTCCACAGAACTGACAGTCTAAGGACAGACAAGTAGACAGACATTAGAAGGGGAAGGAAATGAAAACAACAATAGGCAAATTATATATAAGACCATTTGTTTCACTCTAAGGAAGAAGAGGGACTTACATGTGGCCAGGGCAAAGGCTTTGCAGATGAGCTTAGGGAGGTCAAACCATGCGTAGAAAGCCACATGGAAGTAGGCAGGGAGGTGACATTGAGAGATGCTGAATAAAAGTCAGACAAGGCCGGCAAATAATAAGTAGGGTGGGGCAGAGTTAAGTAGAACTTTGAAGGTAGAAACAGGAATCTTAAATTGGAAGCAATAGGGCAGCCAGTGGAGGGATACAGAATGGGGAGTTCCATGGTCAAATCAATGGGCAAGGATGACTAGTATAGCAGCTGCATTTCGTTCGGACTGAGGGAGGACAATGCATATGATTGGCAGGCTGAAAAAGAGGCTGTTTCAGTAGTTGAGACATCCATCCATGTCTCTTTATAACCTTCAGACCACTGGTTAGGTTACTTGCCTGGGATATAGAAGACCCAGGTTTGAATCTTCCCCCCCCATCTGGAGTATGGACTTGAACTCAGATTTTCCCCCTTCCTAGTGAGCACCCTAACCACAAGGCTCTTCTGAGATGGGCTTTCTCAATCTCTCCTGCTGAAGCTGTTCACTTTGTATAACTACTTAAATATTCTTTGGGCCAAAGAGAGAAAAAATGACTCAATCTATTACTCACCCAACTCTAGCTGCAGTCCTGGATATAATGAGCTGATATAATGAGATTTAGCTACGGGGCTGGAAAGACCAGGACTGATCTGTGGAGAATGAAGATGTTGGCCTGGACATCTGGGACAAGGGAGAAGGAGGAATCAAAGGTACCCCAGAGATTGTAGACATAAGTGATGGAAGGATGGTGGGGTTGTCAGCAATGACAGAAAAGTGGGGAAGTGGAAGGAGCGCTGATCCAGTTTAAGATGACAAGTCATCGAAGACATGTCAGCCAGACAGGCTGAGATGCGAGAACCAATGGAAGGAGACAGTTTAGTGATAGAAAGATTGATTTGCAAGTCATCCACATGGAGATAAGCGAAAGCATTTCATTTAAACAATATCCAACTTACCAAATCTGTCAGTTCCACCTGAAGGTTTCGGAGCTTCCCTTTAACACGTAGGTTTGCATTTTCTACCTGCTGTAGCTTTGCATTCAGTTGGTCAACTGTTTCGAAAAGTTTCTTCTGTGACAGTTCCAGCTCCTTTGCTCTACATCATTGAAAAATAGGATTGCTTCTGAATCAATACATCACAATATTGTTTCAAGAGAAATAATCTATCGTCAATTCTCTATTTACAGTCTTTTCTCTCGCAACAATAATAGTAATTAACACAACACCACTGATCATTCATAGTTAATAACTGATCATTGATAACTAATTAACAATTAATTATAAATAGCATTTGCATGCATGTAGGATATTTTACTGGAAAATCTCAAAGGCCTTTATGGGCTCTACTTAATTGTAAATATCTACATTGCAATCTTTCTCTGGGATGCAGAGATGCACAAGGAGGAAAGGATACTTGCGGTTTGAAATCCATAAGCAAACAGAATCATTTCATTAGGGGTTTATGGCAGCCCGTTGTGGAATACAAAATGGACACCATAACTGGGCATACTTTGTAGCCAAAAGAGACATGGTTATCTGACACCAGGATTCTGCTAGACCCATGACTGGTGAATGTAAATGTTACCATCAGCAACAGTAACATCATATATTCCTCCTGTTTAGAGAACCAATAGGAAGTACCCCACCATGAGTTATGCTGGCTTAATGCAAGACATACTGCCCTGTAACATCTCTTGTAAGGTATCTTTCATACTGGACATTAAAGCTTGCTGTGACTTATACCCATCTGCTTTGGCTTTTGGCAATAAAACAGATTTAGCACAAAATATGTTCCTTTCCTTGTTAGTAACCTCTCTGTAGCCTAGGCTCACAACATGGGAGCCAGCTTAGACTCCTCCCTCTCAAACAGGACATATCCAAATCTTGTCCACATTCTAAACACTTCTAAAACCCAAATCTTCCTCTGGCTTATGGTCAAAAATGCTTTTCTAGTCTCTGATCATCTCCTGTCTCAAATAGCACAACCTCCTTTTCGCCAGCCTCACTGATACCCACCTCATCTTCCACAGCCTGTATCCTACCATAGGCCTTGTCTCATTGTTATGTCCTCCCACAATGATGCCCCATTCCTCTCCTCTTCTCAATCCCATCTCCATACATTTTACCATATAGTCTTCTATGTGTGAAGGGCCTTTTCTAATCTAATATGCCAAGTCACCAGCCTCATGTTATGCAAGTCTCTCTTGGAAACCCCACTTCTTCCACAAAGCATAAGTTTAAAATAATTATACACTCACTTCTCAAACAAACAACCTTACAAAGTCCTGCCCTCCTCTAGATATCTCTGTGCATCCTGCAAGATCTTCAGGCCACAGACTGTCCTTATTTGTGTGCATGCTGTACAGACTGAGACCTTTGGTAATAAACAAATAAAATATGCCGATGCAGGCAATTATCTTCGAATGTCCTTTTGAACCTACCCGTATATCTTCTATTTCATCTAGCTTTGCTTTGAATAGCACTATTGCCATGCATCAAGAACCATTCACCCAGGGCAACTGATGCTTAATGGAGTCATTAGTTTGAGCAATACTGTTACTGATTTTGTTTGACAATACAAAGCAAAATTTCAAATGGACACATAATTGACATCAACCATTATTTGATTCCAAAATAAACTTTTCACTTTAAAAAGAGGAAGAAATATAAACTATGTTACCAGTATATTCAAATAAGTCCAGTGGTCTTAAATGTGTGAATTATGTAATAAAATGATAGACTTTGATCATTAGAATTATAATCTGATAATTCAGTCAGTTTGGAATCCATGTTTTCATTCATTCTAGAACTGTTAAGCTATGTTATGACATCCAATAGAAAAAGCACATATTTTACATATTTTAAAATCTAAAATACAAAAAAATGCATTTACCTGTTTCCTTGTGCAGAATTAGACTTTGTGTAGTCCTCTAAAATGTCTTTCAGTTTTTGCTCTGACTTTTCCAGCTGTTTTATTCTGAGATTCAAGGTCTCCACTTCAGCAGTGTTTACTGCCCCTTCAGACTCCCTTGCACTTCCATGCTCTACATCTTCTAAATCCTGGAAAATCCAGGAAGTATCAATTTTAACATTAAGATTCAGAACATCAAATCCTTCATTACTGGGTGCTCTAATACAATAACAACATTCTTGTCCTCTTTCAGATGAAGGCTCCATGATAAAAAAATATATTGTTTAAGTTTAAGGTTCACCACTTGTAATGCAATCTGAATTTTTCTTTTTTCAGAAGATGTTTAAGTGCTCGCCTTAGCTTCTGTGGTGCTCAGATGAATGCCTTGTATCGATACTGAACACGTTTATTATTCATGAGAGAACCACATACATTTCATTAGCCCAAAAGTCATTCAAAATGTATGAAGGGAGTCTCAGTTTACAGCAAAAGAGAACTCCATACAAGACATTGTGAGTCAAATTCATGGAGGAGTTATGCATCACACCTGGGACTGAAGTGGACGTAATTTCCTGGTAAACACAGAGGAAGATAACAATATGAAGTACTTTTATGGGTTTACAATAGTTCTTCTGCTTCTAGCACAACTGTATCATTCTTTGGATTGTCTGAATGCAGAAAAACAGAGAGTAAGCAGAAGAGGCGTTTACTGGTTCAAAAGGCAAATTATGAATATTTATGAGAAACATTCACAGTCTTTACTTGATAGTTAAAAGTGGGCAGGGTGAAAATGTATTTCTGCTTTGGTCTTTTATAGAGTTATGTTCCAAAGTATTTTCTGAACACAAAATGTTACAACAGAGATAAAGTGACTCACACTCAACCAGAGAAATACTGGCTAAAGTCTTCTGATATACAGACATCTCGTAACTTTAAAAAGTCTCCTCTGCAACAGAAGGAAAACAAGAAAGTCTTGCTTGAGCTAAAAGCCTACAGAAGAATGTTTTCAAGATGATATGAGAAGATGCACATAAAAATTCCATTACTTATTAACAGGATTTTATCTCCGCATTTCAAGTATATCATTTTGGAAAATATATTAATTATTATTAATTTGTATTGTATTTTCGTATTGCCTAGAAGCCAGCATGTTATTGTGCTAGACATTGTACAAACATATAACAAAGAGATGGCCCCTGCCCTGAAGAGTTTACAGTCTAAACAGAGCTTGCATTCTAAATCTAGGTCCTGCAAGTAGAATGTGTGTGTTCCTGCACCCACACAGAGCCCTACTGATTTCATGCAGGCACAGGGGTTCCCTCACACATTGTAACAAGCAAGATCAGGACCTTAATCTACAAAGACAAATAGCTTATATATTGCTCAAAGTGTGGTTCCAATCTGAAAAATGTTAAAATTTGCACCATGGGTTTCCATGTTTACTGCCTCATAATTAGGGTGACCAGACATCCTGTTTTAAAAGGGATGGTCCTATATTTCAGCCCTCCTGCAGGTGTCTCCACTTTTTCTTACAAACGGGCAAATTGTCCCGTATTTTCTGTCTCCCCCTCATCAGTACTGGCGGGTCCTGCTGCTGGCTGGATCCCTGCTCAGCTGCCACCCGCCCAGCAGCGGTGAGTGTGGGGTCCAGTGGCTGACTATGGGGGTGGGTGTGGAAGGCTGGTGGCAGGGAGAAGCTGCAGCGTGCAGGGCCGGCCACTCCCTCTGCTGGTGCGTCAGCACATCCCCATTGTGTGCTGCGTCTCTGCCAGCAGGGCTCGCCCTCCTGTCCCATTTCCAGCCAGCACTGGCTGCGTGCTGCGGCAGCCGGTGAGTGCGGGCAGGCGCCAGGTAGCATCCGGTTACGTGTCGCCTCTGCTGCCCACCCATCAGCCGTTTAGCTGCTCACCCTCTCGCTGCCCTCTCCCCCTGCTCTGCCTCTTTACCCACCCCCCCAGCCTGGCTGCTCCTCCATATCCGCCCCGGCAGGTGC